ATTTCTAGCCCCCAAGGTCGTGACGGAAAACTCTTACACTGTTTTTCGCCTAGCCTATCCGCCAAGTCCGTACCGTGCGATAAGGAACTTCGTTCCAATAACATTCGTGAATTTGTCCACTTCACCACGAGCGATGTGCAAATCTGTGCCCTGATCAACAATAGCTATTTACAAGTTTCCGGCTTCGGTTCTTGCAACGTTTCATCGCGGTCGAACGCGGTATTTTGATTTAAAAGGGGCGTAGGTCGCGGTCCGCGTCCTCTTCATTCTATTGTGTTCTCCTGCAATAAGGATACGGCACATCGGACGCGTACTGTCGTCGAACAGAACAATGCATAGATATGATGCTAATTGAGACATACTGCATAGGTATCGACAGTCGCAAATCGCAGGATGTAGGTCGTTAGGGCGGTGGGTCTCGATGTTGGGGCGGCTCGGACTCGGACGCAGGCGACGAGGCCCTCTATGTCTATTTTCAAATATACTGCTTATTAAATATTACCTTTTTGATTAATTGTAATTAATTTAAGTTCTTAAGCCTCGAGCAACATATTTATTTGCATTTATTGAACTCACAGTCCACCTAATGGTAAGTGGATACTATAGCCCATAGACATCTACATTTATGCAAGAATGCAGATGCGATTTTAGCATTGAGGACTAAGGTAGAATACTTCGTATCCAGTAAAAAGGGGCTCGGTTTCTCTACACTCAGATTACGAAACATAGCTGCATTGAGCTGCTATTTAACGCTGGTGTTCTGTGGGAGCGTGGTCCTTTCCCGGTCCAGCCGACCCATTTATGCTAAAACCATAATATAACTGCAGCATGGCTCTACGTCGTTAAATATTCAACATATTTAAAGAACCTTATGAAAAATATAAACCAAATGTGTGCTTTGTCTATATTCTTTTCAGAATTAATATTTCTATATTACTTAACATTTATAGCCCCACTTATATTCATTGACTATCGCATACTCAAATTAAATATAAACAATCTCAATACCTGTCTCATTCTATTATCATTAAGTAAAAAGAGAGAAAACGGCTCTAAATTGGGGAATGTTCGGATTAACTGCAGACGCTAAATTTCACCATCGCACATCGCGACAATACTCGCGATACTATCCATATCATCTGGATTGACGGTCCACTACTGTGCGATTTAGAAGAAGTTTTCTTCCTTGAACAACTTCGTCGTGGAATAGACTACCACCAGCGATTTTTCAGCGACCTTCAAGAAAAAAGTTTACCCTTACGCATCTGCAATTCCCCTGGTGTTACAGTAGTTCATGGGCTGCGGTAGTCACTTACCATCAAGTGAGCTGCGTGTTTGTTTGTCAATATAAACAAAACATTACTTAAATTGGCCTTATAAGCAACAGCCTTAAATTAAACTCTTGTTGTCTTATTACGACACATTAAATATGAATTGTCTACAACCAAATGCATATTTAATGTATAGGGAGTAGTAATAACCCTTTTTGTGCAATGCTCGAAGTTTGTACACAACTATTGCAATTTAAATAATTTGTAGCCGTGGGAAATAACACGTTAACTATACTGTTATAACAGTTAACAACATGTTGTGTGGCCTAATAATCGTCAGTTGTACGTACAGCTATTTTAAAATACAAATTGTCCTGCTAATTACTATATACTTATGTCTCCAATATGTCCCGCCAACAGTCTGATTCATTAGTGAGTAATATTCCACCAGGTACCACGTTAACAAACCCACTTGCAAGTGTTTGTCAACCTGCATACCTTGCTATGGGTTCCTCGTACTAAATACGGCATGATGAACCAGTGGCAGAAACACATTCGTTGGATACATTGAACACGAAATTGTAGATTCATGAAGCCGATAAGCATTTTACCAATGGAACTCATAATCTCTACACAATAATATAAAATATTATAATCTTCTGTACGTGTGTTTCTCACTGAACTCCTAAACAGCTGCACCGGATGCAACGGATGGTTTAGATTCACTATTGGCACCGGTAGGTGACGCTGTTGTCGAGATTCAGGAATCACCAGTGCGAAGCCGGGGCAGATCGCTAGTTATAATAAAAAACTTGTTTACAATTCTTCATACGCATGTTTTAGATGTAAATCGATTGATAAAATATGAAACGATCGAACAACAATAACAAACATGTTGTTATTCAAAATATTTCAACAGAAATCTGATAAAAATTTACATTTCATTAACAAGTTGAAAGATGCTTACAATTTTGTAGATTTAACCAGGTGGGATGGGAAAAATAAATGACACAAATCACCCGATCACGATCTTGAAATTCTAAGAAAACTTATCTCCGTCACTCACCATGGCAAACACAAGGCAAGCTAAGTCTATATAAATAGAATCTAATGTTTACACGTTGAAAATAATCCACATTCTTGTCGCCTACTAAAGCTATGACTCCCTTGCTTCAGAGTAAGGCAGGCTCTTAGAAGGTCAACTAATAAGTCTATTCGACGACTTGAAAACTTCTACTAATCTAGCAAGAATTAGGTTGCACTCTATTCTATCTGATTGAGGATGAAAATAATTACTTCATCGAAAAAGTCGAAATATTTCATTGGAATCTTTTAATTCAATAGTAAATAGCCCAAGCAAATGCACCATCGAATATTCAAAGGTAAATACATAAAAACAAACATACCGGTTATAGCAGAATTATTTCGTAACACAACTGTGGCTCTTGAAATGAAATGATTGCCGTGGCTGTGATTGTTCGTGCCACGAGGATTGATTTGTTGAAACTGTATTATATAGAATAAGGGTGACTGGTAAATGGATGCTGTGGTCCATAAACATCTACATTTATCCTCGATTAAGAATCAAAATGTGGATGCGTTGTCATCCCTGAGGACTACAATGGATTGTCTCGTTTACAGTTAAAAGGGTATCCGGTTCTCTACACTCACCATACGAAACGCAGCAGCCGCACAGCACAGTACTCGACATGTCACACCTGAGGACTAAGATGGAATACCTCGTTTCCAGTAAATAGGGTTCCCTACTCACGAAACGAAGCACAGTAGCATTAAGCTGCTATTTACCTCAGGTGTCTTATGAGAGCGTGTTCCTTCCGATACATTTGTGCCACAACTAATATAGCTGCAGCGTGGCTCTACCATGTACAAAGCCTAACCTAATAACCTTGTTTTGTTTGCTAGCAGGTTTAGGTTTAGTTTCATTCATCGAATGGACAATATTGACGATTGTTTTGATTTAAATTGTTTGTACACGGCTCAAGACTGCAAGGGGCGTTGACTCGGCGCGGCGTGCGGACAACATGTCGGTAATTGTGTCGTGGCCTGTGTCGTTGGCATTTGCGAAAAATTACGCCGTGGGCGGGTAACGGTCCACGTGAGCCTTGCTACGGTTTCACAAATTTTGTCCTGATGATGTGTTCTTGTCAAACATCTCTCCTAGTAACACTTCAACGTATATTGACTAGAGGGTAGGACTTCTAATCTGCGTAGGAATTCGTCTAGGTGAATTCCACTCTCCCACTTCTGCTCCCAAGCGGCATTGCATCTACTGTTGTTTTCCAGTTTGTAGTTCAAAACGGCTGGCACCAGTTTTCGTTATTTAAAGTTGGTTGCAGAGGTCCAAGAGCCACTTACTGTCAGAGCGACTGATATCTGAATTTTCCATCTAATAGTTATACAAAGGCGAAGATTTAAAACTTTTATATATGTTTACTTTTTATTTTTATGAGAATTGTTAAATCATTCAAAGACGCTTCTGCTTCACTATTTTCGAATAATTACACAAACACTAAGTATAACAAACTGTTTCTGACGTATATACTTAGTTTGTTGTCTGCAACTTGCGGTGCCGATCCTTACGGACAGTATCTCTTTTTGTTATAAACGTTTCACGTTTTGTTATTTACGTAAACATATTTACTTATTCTTTTATTTATCATTCTACATATGTAATCCTAATGCCAACTTTTAAAAATAATTCGTAAGGTTCCATCACGATCAGTTTAGCCATTCCGAAGAAAGACAGTCCAAAATTTTTAAAATAGTTGATTGTCTTAATTGTATTTAATTAATCCCCCGAGCTGTCCACCGTAAACTAACTTATAATGGTTTATCTTAGCTCGCACAGGTGAGTCAGTTTTCCACACATGTGGGTCCACCGCAATCTATGTCAGCTAAGCTAGGTAAAACTAAGTCAGACTAACTTAGTTCTGTAGGCCGAAACTACGCGAACTAAGCTAAGCGCCTCTCACCTCTGGCGCCTTGCGCTTAGTGTTCTTTGTTTTGTTTAGTGTGTGATTATGCGCAGACAGTGAATCTAATATTGAATATGTTGCTTATTCAGTATCTGTGTTTGTGTGTTTTCTTTATGAAACGAGCAATAGCAATAATTCATATGCCGAATGAAATCCTCTCGTCCTGAACTCTCGTCACAGCTCTTCTATCTTCCATCATGTTTGATTAACTCAACATACCAGCACAAACTGGCCATCAATAACGTAGTTTTAGTTCTCGTACTATTATTTATACTGTGGTTTTAGCTAATTTTTCGGTGGACATGCAACGATTTTCCAGGTTAGCTTAGTTTAGTTCACTGAGTCTAGTTTTCACATAGTTTAGTTCGTGGTGGACGTTCGGCTTAATACACGACAGTTGTTTTAATATCACAGACAGACACTTCATTTTTATTTATATGTTAAGATTAGATTAAGTCGTTTATTGTTATTAAACCTAAACAAAACTATAATTCTATTTCTGAATCGATTCATTTAAAAATATACAAAAATATAGGTATAAATAAACCTATGAACAGCTCTCAAGCTCGGGAGCGGATAGCTAAGTGCTTGTGTGTCCTGCAAATAACTATGTGAAAACAACTTATAAACTTTCATGTCTACAATTTTTAATGTTTTAAATAATAACTTTACATATTTATCACAAGTGTTAGAAGTTTTAAGTAAAATATTTCAATGGGAATTTGTTTTACAGGAAGCAGAAGAATGGGCGCGTCGTCAGAGTGGGCCCATGGTCAACCCTTCCTTCGAACCCGATGACTTCGTCCCGCAAAGGTGAGAGCGGCTCCTTTCTTCACGAATAACTCACATATTTTTTCTACATATATTCTTGATTAACAATAAAAGTGCAGCAGTAATGTCACCCCTGAGGACTAATAAGGAATGTCTCGTTTCCAGTAAAAAGGGATATCCGTAGGTGTTTTGTGAGAACGTGGTCCTACCCCGGTTGGACCAAGCCATTCGTGCTACAAGCATAATATAGCTCAACCACGTATGATTGTTTTTCTAAGTTCAGCGCTGACTTTCAATTAATCAGTCAATATTTTAGTCCAATAATACGCTTAAGAAATATGCAAGGAAAATCTAATACTGCTGCAATCAAGGTCATTCCTTTCAATTCGGGAGAGACCTTCATTTAACTAGCGATTATGGCTACACATGCTTTGCGAAAAGTAGCTCATAAATCTTTAATTAACCATTGTAAACTTCGGCTTTTATTACCACGTTTTAATAACTATGCAATGCGATAAACGAAAGCATCCATTACGTGGTAGAGCCACGCTGCATCTATATTATATTTGCAGCAAGGATGGGTCGCTCGACCGGGGGAAGATCACGATCGTCATGAATATTAAGTATCAAAATCATAAACACTCACGCTTGTTATCCAGAGTGATAGGCAGAGGTTACCAACTTTCATTTAGCACGATCCTGAAATGTTAATTATATAATAGCAGCTTAATCCTACTATTTCGTATGGTACTATTACGTTTACGTACGAGAACCGAGCATCCTTTTTACTGGCATTCTATCTTAAGCCTCGGGAGTGACAGCTCATCTACATTTTGACTCTTAACCAGAAATAGGTGTGGACATCTACGGGCCACAGCACACACTTACCTTCAGGTGGACTGAGTGCTCGTTTGATGATTAGATTACGATTAAACTTATTCTACGAACACAACGATAACGACACTTATTCTACGAAAAAAGAACAACTTATTACTTTGCCTGAGATTTCAACGATGAGCATCTTTGATTTATTATTTATCATTGAAAGATTCAAGGTGTAGTTTACGCGTTCATCGATGGTCCAATTATGTGATCGCGCGTTTTAATCCCTGGTCAGATGAAAAACAGTTATTGGATTTTTCGGTCAAAAAATTATTGGTATCGGCCCGTAATTAGGTAGAAGCCGTTGGTTCTGCGCCCGATCTCTCTCCGGACGTTTTGGATTGCGTATTAAATTAGGAGCGTGAAGGTATAAAGAGTTTATGTCCTATAATCCTGCGCAGATGATTAGTCTCCTTTGACACTGGCCGCCGTGATCAATGTTCGATCTGGATAGCGTTATTATTTTTACATGGCATATGCATGGTGTATGCATAGCTTCTTCTTCATCGTCATCATCATCCCATAACATGTCATAAGCATCTCCTGTTATGGAGAGAATCTGCCGCATTACTAGTTTGCTCCTTTCGCGGTGCTCCCCGTCGCGGAACTGAATATTTTATGTCTCGTGTAGACAACATAGTCCATAGGTGTTTCCTTAGAATACGTGATGCAATGGTAGAGATAACTTGCAACAATATGATTTACTTAATTGTTATCAAACCCATGCCATAAAACTCGCATCCGGGTTGAGGGAGATTTCTAAAACATTTTTTACATAGAACTTACAGATTAGCAGCAGGTCCCACAAATCACATTTGGCAGTTGTTTACCAATGTAGCGACCAAACCGTATTATCGATCAGATAAAATGAGCCTTAATTTGCATATTATTAAGCTCAATAAAATTTGAAACTTTTTCAAGATTTAAGTCTTCTTCACTTCCCTCATAGTCCGATGGGACGCCAAATGACTCGACCAGAGAGATATCAGACGCATCACCAACAACTTTACGTGCTTTCCGAGGCATGGGGGGTTAAACTACGCATACTTGTTGATTTCTACTCTCTGAATTTTTTGACAAAAAATCTAGTAACTGATTTTGGCAGTCACACTGACCACCATTAACCTACGAGCCAGTCAACTATTAACGAAGTAATTAACAAGCAAATTCTAATAAGTATATTTCGATGCGCAAACCGTTGCTGCAATAATACGGTCGGTTCCATTGACCATAGTGACGTCATCACGTAATTATCTATTGTGCCTGACTTGTAAACTGTAACATGTGTTGAATTGTTTATTACAATTTATAATATATTTAATGTTGACGCCAAATAATTAAAGGGACTCAAATAGCAGTTACATAACGCACATGAGCTGTTTAATACAATAGAAAATATATATGCATAATAATCCTGTAGTCATGCCCAGATGTATCTATAGTGTCACTTGATTAATTCTCAGATTTTCAACCCTCGCAATGATTCATAATTAATCGGTACTTAAAAATCCCAAGTAACAATTTAATTAGAGTTGGCACCAGGGATCGAATTCAGATGGCTCATTTAGTAAGCTAGGCATTAAGCCTCTTTTTTTATAGGAGAGGGGGCAAACGACCATACGGTTCACCTGATGGTAATTGACTACCACCGCCCAAGAACAACTGCAACACCGGGAATTGCAGGTGCGTTGCCGGCCTTTTAAAAAGGAATAAGCTGTTTTCTTGAAGGTCGCTAAGTCGTATCGGGCCGAAAAAATCGCAGGTGTTAAACTATTTCACAGAGAGGTCGTACGCGGAAGGAAACTCCTAGTGAAATGTACAGTGGTGGACTGCCAAGCATCCATGGTATCGGGAGTTGTGTCGCGATGGGCGTTCGTGAAATTTGGCGGCTTTTAATTAAACTAATTTCAATTTTTTTATTTAGTTTTTATTACTACACGATTAACTTCTAACGCCTGTACGCAATTCGATGGTTATAATAAATATTTTAACGCTAAATCGCCTGAAAAAGGTGAATTAAATTCAAAACCTAATTTAAATTCAATCTTTGCGACCTTAGAAGAATTATACGTAACTAAAAATTACTGCAAGTCTTATAAACAGGGAAATGAATGCATTATACGAGTACCGTTTACAATTATGATGTCAGTTTTTAAGCAAATTATTTCACTCATCTTTACTTGTATCTGAAGATTTATTAACCAATCGCGTTGGCAATATTATCTCTGAAAGGAACGAAAGAAACTATTAAGTATTGAACGTGCCACATATAATGGCGTTTGTAAGGGAAAAGCATAATAATTTTTCCCTTTCAGTTAATTTATCGTTTTATACTGAAAATTTGGTTGCGGAAGCTTTTTGGTAAGCGAGTTTGGCACATATAGGCACGTTTCTTTACCATTCATTTCGGAGTTGTCATTTTAGTCGTAGATGCGGTATCCTAAACAAATGCCATAACGCGGGTATTTTATCTTAATAGGAAACTAATCAAATTGACAATAACTAGTGTCCTCTATGACTAAATTTATAATCCACTAAATCCAGTGCCGCGAGCGTTCCGTGCCTTCACCTAAAACTAACTTTCGCAAAATCAATAAACCGAGAATAACAACCCATATTGCATAGCAACCTCAAGAGATTGGAAAACCTTTGGTCTAAATCTTTTCCGACCTTGCGAGCGATGGCAGGCTTCATTTTTTATAGTTGTATGAATGTGGTTTTGACAATTATGACCAACCCTCAGAAAATATTGTAAAGCTCAATAAAATGAATTTTCTAAGATTATATTCCGGTACTATATTGATATAGTTATTTTCAATTTATTAAATTATTAAAGAGGTTTTAAAATACGGGAATGATAAACAGATAAGAATACGTATATGAAATGAGGTACGTACCAAAGCAATATATTTAATCACTATCGGGCTACTACAACTATGGCTGGAATAATTTTTTTTGTTTAATTCCAAATACAAATTAAATAAATATTTAGAGTTGCAATTGTCTTGCTTATTACCCTTGAACTGGTTTTATAATTATGAAAGTCCTAAAACAAATGCGGCTATTTTAACGACGGGCGATATTTTGTAATCTGAAATTATCATTCCTCTGTGTGTATCTTAACATCAATGATTTTGTTGCAGCCTGTCACCGGTCAAAGATGAGAAGAAGAAGCCGGGAGCGGACAAGGGGATATTCCTTGTTAACATGAAAGAAAAAAACTTGCAAGAAGTGGAGGAATACGAGCCTTACGACAACAGAGTGGTAGAGCACCCCACCACGTGAGTACCACTTTATAAATATAAATAGTTTGAACAAATTCAAATGCTTCGAGCGACAATGAGGCTGAACACCCACGCTACAGTGGATCGTTATCCCGTATCAGCACAAACTGAGTCACTTCTTTCCTACATTTTAGTACCATTAAGTTTTTAGTCATGAAAAGTTTTTTTTAAATCAATTTGAGGTGACAATTGAATTTACAGTCCACAAGATGGTAAGTGGTTAGAGCAGCCCATAGCCAACTGCAATCAACTAATAATTAAAAATTAAAAATTTTGTACAGACGACCTCAATATGAGTTATTAAGAATAACTTAAAAAGTCTTACCTTGATCAAATTCATATGGGACCACACGAGAAGTACCAGCTTTCAAATAAAAAAAGAATCATTCAAATCGGTTCACCCAGTAAAAAGTTATGAGGTAACACACATAAAAAAACATACAGACGAATTGAGTACCGTCTCCTTTTTTTTTTTTTTTTTTTTTTTTTTTATAGAATAGGGGGCAAACGAGCATGCGGCTCACCTGATGTTAAGTGACTACCGCCGCCCATGAACAACCGCAACACCAGGGGAATTGCAGATGCGTTGCCGGCCTTTTAGAAAGGTGTAAGCTCTTTTCTTGAAGGTTCCTAAGTCGTATCGGTTCGGAAAATTCGCTGGTGGTAATTGATTCCACAAAGAAGTTGTGCGAGGGAGAAAACTTCTTCTAAATCGCACAGTGGTGGACCGCCAATCATCCAGATGGTATGGATGGTAACGCGAGTTTTGTCGCGACGTGCGATGGTGAAATTGAGCGGCTGGAATTAGTCCGAACAATTCCTCAGAGCACTCCCCGTGATAGATGCGATAAAATACGCAAAGAGATGCAACATCTCTACGCAGTGCCAGTGTATCGAGCCGATCGGAAAGAACTCGGTCGTCGACGATTCGAATCGCTCTGCGCTGGATGCGGTCAAGTGGAAGGAGCTGGCACTGGGGTGCCCCGGCCCAGAGATGAGAACAGTATTCCATGTGGGGCCGAACTTGCGCTTTGTAAAGTTGCAAGCGATGTGCCGGCATGAAATACTGTCTCGCTCTGCTGAGCACGCCAAGCTTTTTAGAGGCCAATTTGGCCTTCCCTTCCAAGTGACCACGAAACTGCACGCTATTCGATATGTCGACGCCAAGGATTCCGATACTGGCTGAGGCAGCAAGGGGAGTGCCTTGAAACTGAGGAGATACGACAAAGGGGTTCTTTTTAGCGGTAAACGCGCAAACTTGTGTCTTCTGGGGATTGAACTGGACTAGATTTAGTCGGCCCCAATCCGAGACTTTGTTAAGCAAAGACTCGACTTCAGACACAAGTTTGTCCCGGTACTCGGCGACGTTTTCCCGAGAAATATTGGCACGGCCGGTATATAAGGCATCCCCAGTGCTGTCGTCTGCATAGCAATGAATGCTACCAGTTAGCAACATATCATTGATATGCAGGAGAAACAGCGTTGGTGATAGCACGCAGCCTTGTGGAACACCAGCGTTGATAGGCTTGTAATCAGAGCATGCACCGTCTACTACGACCTTGATGCTCCGATCAGCAAGGAAACTGGTGATCCATTTGCACAATTTCTCGGGAAGCCCATAGGAAGGAAGCTTCGAAAGAAGCGCCTTGTGCCAGACCCGATCAAAGGCCTTCGCTATGTCCAAACTAACGGCCAATGCCTCCCCCTTGGACTCTACTGCCTCCGCCCATCTATGAGTTAAGTAAACTAAAAGATCACCTGCTGATCGACCCCGACGAAAACCGTACTGACGGTCACTGATCAGCTGGTGATCCTCAAGGTACCTCATGAGCTGGCAGTTTATAATGGATTCCATTATTTTGGAGAACAAGGAGGTGATGGCGATAGGCCTGTAGTTGGACGGGTCTGAGCGGTCGCCTTTTTTAGGGATCGGGTGGACCAAAGCTGTCTTCCATGAATTCGGGACTACGCCTTGGGAGTAGGAGTACCGGAAAAGACGCGTTAAAACCGGTGCCAACTCCGGAGCACACGTCTTCAGCACAATGGGAGGGACTCCATCGGGCCCACTCGACTTGCTGACGTCCAGGGAGAAGAGTGCTTTGCGAACCGAGCGCTGTGTAAATCGCACATCCGGCATGGAGCACTCACATCGCGGGATGGTCGGCGGTGTGTTCCCCCCGTCATCTAGAGTCGAGTTGGACGCAAAAAGAGAGCACAACAGATCGGCTTTTGGAAGTCGGCAGGAAAAAGAAGGCTTCAATTGCGTTATCACGTCTGAGGAGCAAGATGAAATGTCTCGTAGCCCGTATTTATACTGGCTCCCTACACCCATTGCACCGGGACACCGCAATGCAGGCACTGCTAACTGCTGCTCGGCGGCAAAAATAGCTCAGAAGGTGGCGTGGCACCCACCCAGACGGATTCCTGAAACCCTTAGTAATGTGGCTGTAGAGTGGCATTTATTATTTATTACTACCTGTTCCCCGCGACATCGCTCGCGTGTAATTTAGGGTTTTAATTTTGTTGCGCGGAACCCTAATTAGTTTTCTATAACATAAGTAGCCTAAGTTACCCCTTATAACATAAGCCATCTACCAGTGAAAGTCCCGTCAAAATCGGTCTACCCGTTTCGTAAATATTAATATGGCTAGTAACAAACAAACAGACAGACAAACAGGCAAAAATTTTAAAAATTGTGTGTTTGTTATAAGTACCGTATATACTTTCATATGCAATTAGTAAAAGCTGTTATTTTGACGTTACGAACAGACACTTCAATTTTTTCAGCCCGTACGTACACTGATTTGTGACAGAGAGGTTTGCTGTAATGAGAGCATTCACGACTTTTTTGCCACCAGGGCCACTTAGATATGTGATAAATTATTTGACTGATTTCATAGCGGGGCAAGTTAATTTGTTAAAAAAAACTGTAGAGATTAATGTTTCCTTCTTAAATATTAGATATATTTTATATGAATTAGATAAGAAATGGAAACTACGGACATCCCTAATAGTAGAAGACTTTAAAAAAAGTTAAAAATATCAAGAATATTCAAGAAGCACTGAGGCATTATTTTGTGTATAGACATACACTAGAAACCGAAAAACTTAATTAAATCGCAACTTTCCAATGATGATAACACTGACGCTGTGTGTCCATCTTAGTAAGAAATAAGTTCACCTGACTCCCAACTAGTGTCATCTGGTGAGCGTAAGATTATTAGCCCTCATTGTCAGCTTGGCAGGTGAATTGACAATCGCACTATCAGATGTATTGAACCTTAATACGGCTCCATCACACTGCTCTACACTGGGCTACGTATTCTCTATCTGGAGTTTGTATACCATCATATATCAGAAGGTCATGCAACTCATACGACACCCGCCAATTAAAAGGTGGCGAGGGAGTCCCGTACGCCTCTACCTACTACGCTACGCTACTAAAATAAAATAAAAACTAATTATGTGCGAACATCTTTTTTACTTTTCACATAATAACAAATTTTTAATTTATTGTCAGAGATGTAACTTATCTAAGATACAAGTATGTGAAATACAGATACAAGATACGTATTTACATCTTGTAACTATATAACTTTTTTTAAATTCATTTTTTATCTTGTATTTAAATACCTTTTGTTTGGTATCTTAGTATTTTGTAGATACTATGTTTGCTAAAATACTTTTAGCAATAAATAACTGATTCTATTGTGACTTCTTCTTCTTGATACGGCTTTACGGCTCTGGGATCTAGCCCTTCTGAGCCTGAAGTTACAATATTATATTATAATAATTATTCTTCATAGTATACTGCTTCACAATATGTTGATGCGTCACATTGTGCAGCCCTTGGGAGATTTTGACGGCAACTTGAGCCAGCAGACAGCTGACGGTTGGCGATGGTATCTCAAGGCGCCTAAGCAGACAGGCACCTTATTTTGAGAATCACATCACTATCAGAGCACTTGTTTCACAGTTTCCAATAATAGTTCACATGCGCAAATACTTAATACACAAAATCGCACCACTTTTACATATCAAAGTCTACTTCAAACCATTATTTAAACAATAAAACAGGATCAACAAACCGCCGCCGGTCAAGTTGCCGCCAAAACTCTCTATTGTGACTTCTTAGGTGACATTAATTTTAAATGTCAATGTTGTCGTAGATAAAACTGAACGTGCCATTGAATCTTTAGCCTGGGGCGTTTAGATGACGTGGTAATTCTTTCTTTCTACAAAGTGTCATCGCCTATGTCCCTTGACTCGTGTGATTTTTTTAATTATTCCGAATAATAGTCTGTGTTTGAGGGAGACACGTAAAAGTTTGATCGGTCGGTCGGAGCGAGAGAAAAATCGGAGGGGTTAGACAATATTGAAGGTGATATAAAAAAGTCAAAAGATAAATCTTATTACATGTTTTTAGAGGATTGTGATTCCACTGTTGCAAACGCCGAAAATACTGGATCTACTGGCAGCACCGCTGACTTAGAAACATTGCAATACTTAAACGATAAAGATACCAACTTATAGAGCTTAAATGCTTATCCCATAATAAAAAAATAATATTTTTCAAATAAAGCACTTGTTTGCCAAGTTCTGTCCCTGTGGAGCAACTCTTCTCATTTGGGGGCATGATCATGAGGCCTCATCGAAAAAAATGAATGATAAACTGTTTGAAGTATACATGTAAAAAAAATAAACTCATTAAAAAAATGTTGTTTTTTACAAAAGTATTTTATCTATACTAATTTAAAATTAAAAATTTTGTATAGCCGACTTCAATATAAGTTATTAAGAATAACTCAAAAACTATTGGTATGACCTTGATCATATAGGACCACACGAGAAGTATCAGCTTTCAAATAAAAAAAGAATCATCGAAATCGGTTCACCCAGTAAAAAGTTATGAGGTAACACTCATAAAAAAGCATATACCTAGTCGAATTGAGTACCGTCTCCTTTTTGGAAGTCAGCAGAAAAGTATTCAATAGACG